TGAAGTGTAGTGGCACACTCATGGCCACCCCAGCGTCAGCCTGCTAGGCTCCGGGGATCTTTCTGCCTCAGCCTTCCAAGTAGCTGGAACTACAGGTGTGCGCTACCATGCCCGGCTAATTTTTGATTTATTGTGGAGACGTGGTCTCGCCAAGATGCCTGGACTTGTCTCAAACCCGCAGGCTCAGGCGGTTCACTTGCCTTGGCCTCCCAAAGTGCTGGGATTACAGCCTGAGCCACCGAACCCAGCCTACTTTTTTGATTTATTGTAGAGATGAGATCTTACCAAGTTTCCCAGGCTGGTCTCGAACCCCTGAGCTCAGGCAATCCTCTCACCTCAGCCTATCAAAGTGCTAGAATTATAGGCATGAGCCACCGCGCCCGGTCACAGGTTCTAGCTCAGCCTGGGCAACTTGGTGAGACTTGATCTCTACAATAAATCAAAAAATTACCCGGTCATGGTGACGCGTGCCTGTAGTTCCAGCTACCTGGAAGATTGAGGCAGAAGTATACCCTGAACCCAGCAGGTCGAGGCTGCGGTGGCTGTGAGCAGTGTGCCACTGTACTCCAGCCTGGACTACAGAGAGAGACTCTGACTTAAAACAAACAACAGTTTTTTTTTTAGAGTTGGGGGCTGGCGATGTTGCACAGGCTGACCTTGAACTCCTGACTTCAAGCAGTCCTCACCTCTACCTCCCAAGCGCTGAGATTATAGGTTTGAGCCTCTGTGCCCAGCTACTAATGATTTTTTTAAGCATTTTAAATTAACATGTAAGTTTATAGTGTAAACTTTTAAAAACATGGTTACTTATTGAAATTTAACTTAATATTATTAATGTTATCAGCCGGGCTTGGTGGCTCAGCCTGTAATCCCTTGCCTTTGGGAGCTGAGGTGAGTGGATTGCCTGAGCCCTCAGGTTCGAGACCCGCCTGGGCAGGAAGACCTCATCTCTACAATAAATCAAAAAATCAGCCGGGCGTGGTAGTGCATGCCTGTAATTCCTGCTACTCGGAAGGCTGACGCGGAAGGATCGCTGGAGCCCAGCAAGTCGAGGCTGCGGTG